GTAGCACGGTATATAGATACCATTGTAGTCCACCAAGATATAAAACCCGGGAACAATAAAGTTTGAGATCGTAAGGAACTTTCTTTTTGTATTCGAGTTCAATATATTCCCTGACAGAGACGATCTGTAACAGTGTCATAACTGGAACGTTTTGGATGAGAAGACTCACGCATAGGATGTTTGTCTTCATTACAGAAATTTTGTAAAATATTAACAATAATTCAAGTAGTTTTGTTACATAAAGTGCCAAAGAAAACTTTATAATAGATAAGGATTTCTACATCAAAATCATGCCATTAAGGATAATACATTATAAGTATGGCCCCAGTTTTCAATGTCACTAGTTTTAGTTTTTCATTGGAACTATAGGTTTCACAAACTGCGCCTTTTTCAACCAAATACCTGGTATGTGACACAGTAAAAAAGCCTAAAAAAGAGAATAAGATAATGCGAAACATTTTTATTTTGACTATTTTAATAAATATTGTTGTTTTTGTTTTCATAGTGCAAAACTACACATTGGGATATATGCACACTGTCCACTGTGGGGTATCAAACCTGCATTTCAGTACTGTTACTCCCTAAACATACCACTGACCCACCGGGGGGGGGGGGGGCTTTATCAAATAAAAACTCAATAGAATAAATGATTTATGGTCAGTATGTCCGTTAGAGGTTGTTGTTACTACTGCAATGTAAACTTGGAGCTGTTGCTGTTATTCAAGACGTTCTTTTCACATTTTTTTCAATTGTACAAACTTTGAAAAGTGAGTACTTCACTTTTGAATAAGACAATAACAGCTACAAACGCTTCATAATTTTATTAGGTTATGTATACAACTCTGTACATCTGCTATCTGTTTGAAAATAAAAACAGAAAAGACGTAAAGTCAGCTTCCCAAGTTGAGTATAGAGAATTCCGCTGAAACAAGCGATCTTGACGTTTATAAGCCCTCTCTACAAGGGACATAGAATTATTCGACAGCATTCCCGTTGTACACGAAAATTCCTTGAAACTGAATTAAGAATACAGTCGGTTTGTTTTCTCACTCATAAGTATAATTCTCTTTATTTCATTGTCATCTAAGACGTTCATTATTCTACGTGGTTCTTGTACTTCTACGTCTATATTCACTCTTATTTGTAAGTAAAAAACTATTAAGTAGAAAGATATTTCTGAACTAGTAAAAAGTTGCTTAAACCTATTTTTGTGCGGAGGTCATGGATCATTTAGAAGTTATTTCTTCGTGTACTATAAGGCAGTAAATAAATTATTCCTTCTATTATAATCCAGTGAAATAAACCATATTTATAAACGTTGTTATAAAACACTTATAAGTTTATTAAACTTTAAAATAGCCCAAAGTCATAAAAATATTCATTGCGATTTATTTAAACGAATAGAAGTGTCCATGGAACACTTGATTTTTTTTTCTTTGTTACATCCAGAATTTAATAAGCGTTTCATGTTTTACTTAATTTTTAAAGATATTTCGATTGTATGGAGGCTTTACTCTTCCAAGTACTAAGCAGCTCACACGAAACTTTATATAAAGAGGTTGAATACCTTACATTTAAACGATTTTGGACCCTCACTTCGTCGTTACAGTCCATGTCGCAAACGTCCGGTCATGCTCTACCTGATGACCGTGCACGTTCACAATAGCCCTGCAACATAGTTTTAATTTCAGAAGGCTCTGTCGTAAGACTGTCATGCTAGAAGCACAACTATTATCTCTGCTTGCTTTCTATAAAGCATCTAGAGTACGAGGACAACAATTTCCTAACACCCGTTTCAACAATCCGATCGCACAGAAATATATAGGCGCTGCTTCCGGCGAATGAAGCGGTATATCGTATGAAGTACCATAAATACACATTTCATTCTTCAGCTGCTTGAGGTATGCGACAGATGAAAATGGACATGTCGTGGAAGTAAATTATGTACACGTTACTTGTTATCCTTTGAATTATGTTTCTACTGGTCCTGGGGCACGTGAGTAGCTTTTGCCACTGACCTTTGTGTTCGTGGATTTTTCACCTGTTATAAAACGCCGCACTTTGCTCACCACAACTGGAGTATAACTTCTTGTAAGTCGGAAAGGGCTGTTACATACCTTTCCCAAGAGCGATCAATTTTCAGTGGCATCACACTACCTACGAAACGCCAAGTACTATCAAATGTAGTTCTGATGTATGGCGTTACACCACAACATTACATTGGCTGTGGGTGTCACGTAACTTGTTGATTTACTTATTCAAAATAATTTCAATATAGCGTACTTAACCCTGTACATTTGTATATCATATTATTGTATCTCTATTGATTCAATTGCTTGTTTACTTATTCTTGGCTTTGTGTTTTAAGACTTTGATAACATTTCTTACGGTGAAATAGCGAAAAAGAGTAGAAAAAAACAACTTCTCGTTCAAATACGCTAAAATTCACACACATTGTAGACAGTGGATATAGTTGATAACTGTGATTTAATCCTATGGTTTTTAACGAATGAAATGTTAAGAATCACTATACCGATGTTCCGGGATAAATAGGACAGACCAGCATACGGGACTGATCACGTAGGGTTTTTCTAATAACTGTTTTAGTTTGTAGAGTAATAATTAGCGAAATACTTTAGACATAAATTCATACTAAAAGTCAACAAATGATGATATGATATTCATCCAGTTTTAAGGTGAAACTTTGTGTGGGTAAAGAAATGCATCAAGAAATTCAGAGTATTCATTAATAAACTAAATATAAAATTACGCACACCAGTTAACAAATAGCTCTCTTCGAGAACTATAGCTATCAAAAGTAAAAATAGGTGATATATGATAAGACAAAAATTGGTCAAATTTATTATCACTGTAAAACAGGCTGCATAATAGTCAGCAGAGATTTTTTTGATGATATCAAAGTCAAAATAACATGTTTCCAAGTAAGAAGTGTATCTTTAGACAATGTAAAAAAAAAACTATATAAATGTAACAGCGACTAAGGAACATATTTTTCAAATGTCATTGAATATTTCTAATATGCAGAGTCTTGCCATTTCACCACTTGCAAGAATAGCCTGCAAAGCGGCATGTTTGGATATCATATGTTAACAACACACGTCCAAGCCGTCTCTTGAAAACTTTCACCCAGCAAAAAGTGAGTTATTACGTTATGCACTAGAAATGTCACGTGACCTCGTGATGCGTTAGATGTTTGTTTACAACGAGACTACAAGATGCACTATTTCTTAGTGTAATGAGCAAATACTGTGACGTCTTCATGAATTACTGACTACAAGTGAGAGAAGTGTCGTATTACCTTGTGAGGCTCGGTTTCAGATTATCAAAACAAACCCATTTGTTGGGCAAGATAATATTTCTTTACAAATACTTATACATATATATATATTGCTTAAAATTATCATTGAACCCAAGATGCAAACTATAGTTATTTTTTAGCTATCTTCCGATTCTTATTGTTCACTAACACCATTTCACCGGTGGCACGGCATGGTGTGAAAAACGGTTTTGTTAAAGATTTTTCTCCAGAGCCTGTATGTTTTAAACTAATTCTTTGCCTAGGAATTATTCTCATTTTGTTATTTGTTTTCCGCTTGTAAAAGATAAAATTGGAACCATCACAGTCTAGAAATTTAAGGGATATATTTTTCAGTTTTGAAAACATATTAAAGCATTCAGAAGTATCATTACAATGAAATCTGAAGACATTTTATATATTAATTAATCAACATTAATTATAAAAAGTTTTCACTTTTAAAATTATTGAATTAAATGCATCTTTTTCAATGAAACTAATAAGAATAACTGACAACTTATACCCTCAAAAATGTTTTGGAACTAAACAACTGATAGTGTCTTTCAATTTATTAGTACACATATTATACAAGATAGATATAATGGGCTTTTTTAATATCATAAATATATATAGGTTTCAAATTAGCCCTACTACTTGAGGAATATTAACGACAAAACAGGTACACTGAAAACTAGGAAATAGAAAGTGTTTTCAATTCATCAGAGTCAAAGAAGAGAGACTTTCTAATATTTTCAGTGACACCTGCACTCGACTCGCAATCTGAGGGTCGCGGGTTCGAATCCCTGTCACACCAAACATGCTCGCCCTTTCAGCCGTGGGGGCGTTATAATGTGACGGTCAATCCCACTATTCGTTGGTAAAAGAGTAGCCCAAGAGTTGGCGGTGGGTGGTGATGACTAGCTGCCTTCCCTCTAGTCTTACACTGCTAAATTAGGGACGGCTAGCACAGATAGCCCTCGTGTAGCTTTGCGCGAAATTCAAAAACAAACAGTGACACCTATATAAAATTAGGCAGCGTTTAATGTTGAGTAATTTAACAAAATAATAAGATATTTGAGCTTTCTATTAAAAAGGCCCCCTGTTTATTAAAGAGCAAACGAATTACAGGAGTAAACACAAGCAAATTCTTGTTGTGCCTTCTTTATAGTTATTATAGATAAACCAGTTTTGTGGTCCTTTTGATACTTACAAGACTTGAACAATCTTTATTATCCTTACCCACGATCTATTTTTAGTTTTATGCTCTGACTCTTTACTCTTAGAAAACCTGCTGTATGTTCACTGTGTTCAGAATTAACAATACAAAATGTCAGCGTTTAACTTTGAGATAAGTGAAACACGAGAGGTGACACTTGAGATCGCCATTATAAGCAGCCTTTTTTTCTTCAATACACCAAAAATAAAGCTAAGATCAACAAACATGTGCCTACGAAAAACAATTTTCAACTGAACTTTCGCGTTTAATAACATGACTACAAATCTCATAGTTTTGTAGAGCAAACCGAACTTTGTTATTATAAGCGTTATGTTGTATTTTTATCTATCTTGTTTTAAGTTTTCTCGAACTAAAAATAATCCGGTTGAATGCTTGTCATAACTGAATGTCTAATATTATAAAGTAATATTGATCATTGGTGTAAATTTCATAACATAAAACCCTTACCTTCTGCCACTATAATAAACAGCCACAAGGCTGCGAAAGAATAGAACACCACCATGAAAGGGTGCATAATACACGTGCTTGGAATCTCTGCGTCTTTCCACAGCAACCTGCTTCTAGTAGTTCAATCTGTTACTGAGCGATCAATTCCTCTAGTTGTAGTATGTATCAACAGCATAGTACACAGGCGCGCACAGAAGGCACGTGATCCACTGGAGGTGTGGCTAGGAAAGATACGCCTATTCATTCATTGCTTTTATATTAGAAGTTATTTACTTAATTTCACCCAAGGAAAACTGTAAACGTAACAAAGACTTTTAAGGTGGTAACACTTTCCTGATTACGATTAATAAGGGTAAAAACAATAGTTTATTGACTAATGCTGTTCTAGCTTCGGTAATTACATCTTTGTCTAAATGTATTCCTGTGAAGATAAACACCCTGTGTATCTTCATTTGTGATATGCGCACTATAAAACGAAGGTACCTCGTTTTCTAGACATCAGTCTGACTTTAGAATGTTATGATGGCATCAAACATTATTAATAGATATTGCTAAGACTCGAGAACTGTTTGATAACTTGCACACACAGCATATTTATATATCGCAGAAAATGGTATGTGTGAAAATATTGCTGTTTTTCATAATGTTACGTCTCCGTTTGTTAATTAACTTTCCGTAACTTCGTTCCGACGAAATTTTAACAACACAAGTCTTTACTTAATAAAACTGGTTTATTCTTTCCGAATATAACTTTACCGATACACTCAACTTCAACAATCGCGCTAAACAAACACTGTAACAACGAACGTCTACAATACTTCTGACTGCAGTTCAATCACTCACTATCTACACACACATTACACACATTACCGCGTCACGTTGTCCCTCTCTTATATATACCCGACTACCCTATATCTAAATACTAGAGCATTCGCCAAAGTACAGGATAGTTCTAGAAACGTGGCGTCACTGTAGTCATGTGACTCGCTGACGCAACACTAATGTTTGTAAAGTTTCCTGGCTTTAGTAAAGAGGGTGCTTTTTATTTAACTTTTTTTCAAAACTTTTAAAAATTATGTTAAAAAGGACGATTCATACAACCACACAGCATATGCCCAATACGTGACATCCACTATCCAAAGTTATATTTACGAAAGAAAAAGCCATTAAAGTAGATTTATTAAAATATTTCCTCATCAGTAACGTTCTGATACCATAAAGTAATGTTTAATATTCAGTATTAGTTAAGTAACATAAAACCTTTACCTTTTACCACGAAAACTTACAATGGACAAGCACAATGTGAAAATCACACATGGTGATTGGTAGTAATATTCCTCATCGAACTACACTCGTCATAAAGTTAGAATTATATATATTTTATGTGTAGAACAAAGAATTGTTGTTAATATAATTAGGGTTAAAGCATTAAATTAGGATTATATACGAACTGGGGAGGAGATTGGAGACATAGCCTCAGAATAGAAAATTATTGTTGCCTTAAACTGCTGTCCATCATCCATACGATCTTTGGTATGTTGTGCTTTTAACTAGTCAGTTCTAAGGTTACAAGATAATTACACCTGTATCAGTTTTTTTAGATTTTATCTTTTAAATACACTATTAAAATAAACAATATAGAACCATTAATACTGTGTCTGAAAGTTGTCTTACCTGTTGGCCTACTTTCGACCGTGTTATCCTACCAGTTGAAACAAGTACGTCTGATTACTGCTTTAAATTAAACTAGTTGAGCCAGGAAAGAATGAACTGAGTTATAAGCAAGACTTAAAGGGCTAGTAAACGATTTCGGGTACTGTAATTAAAATCGAGGGCTGGTTTTAATATGTGTATGGCAATGGATTCTTTGATGAATAGTTTTGTTTGTTTGTTGAATGTCGCGCAAAGCTACTCAAGGGCTATCTGCGCTAATCGTCCCTAATTTTCAAGTAATAAATAAGAGGAAAGGTAGCTATCAGCATCACAAACCACTAACTCTTTGGCTACTCTTTATCAGCGAATAATGAAATTGAACTTCACATTATAACACCCACGCGGCTGAAAGGATGAAGATATTCAGTGACGAATTTCGATTCCGCGACCCTCAGATTGCTGGTCCAGCGTCCTAACCGCCGGGCTTATGGATAGTTTTTCGCTCATTTTAAGACTTACGGTTAAAAGTGAAATGCTACTGACTGATCATGGTTTGATAGGAAGGCAGTTAGTGGTGTCTTATGACAGTAATATTTACGCTAAAAGATTTTAAAGATCTCGCCTAGCCTAGCCTTTAGCCAGTTAGTTCTGAGCATTGTGGCCAGTAAATATTAATACTCAACGAGCAAGTGTTGATTTTTATTAATTCCTTTCTTATATCTAACGAAACCTGACGTATGACAACTAAGTGCGGAAGTATTATAGACGCAGTAAATTCCTTAACTGAGGGATTGTTGATCCGAGGGGTGATGAGTTATGTATATACTGCTGAATTGTGGCTGCGTCTTTCAAATTTTCAAGGAATTTCATTACGTTATAATTCTTAATTGAACTTCAGTAATTCTTCAAGAATAAGTTTAAAGTTGAGTATTTTAAGAGCTTCAGTTGGTCACACATATATATATATACATATAGTTTAAATATTCTATTTAAATTTTCTTATATAAAACTGTTAAAATGCACGTTAAAGCCGCCATAAGCTGTTTACGTATAAACCAACTAGTTGAATTAATAATGGCTGGAGACGGCTAATAGGTAGTAGTAGA